TCATCAGGAAGCAAGAAGAAGAAGAATAGGAGCTCGAATGAACCTAAGCTGAAGTCTTTGATACCGTGATAACTTTGGAGAGGCAGAACCTGGAAGAAGAAAATGCAAGAGTAAAGCCGAAAGAGCAATGGCTGATAAAGTGTTCATTTTCATTGAAAAACCGAGTTGGATACAATCCTTACCATTATATGAGGGTAGGTGAAGCTTCTAGATATAGGAAATTACGTTACTTGCCTTTATATTATACCTCAAGAATATTTAGTGTAGCCTATTCCACTCGCTATTAGTCTTTGCTGTCTGTGCTTCATCTAATCCTTGAGAAATATTTTGCAATTAAGCCCCTAAAGTTTTGCTCCAATCTCTATATATTTTTACTTTTGAATGGCCTGTGTGAGAACTGAGAACTAAATAGGGAATATGATGAAGGGAAAGATGAAGTGATAAAAAATTGGGATGAAATTGTAAAGAACTGACGACTTCTTGAAATTTTAAGCTTGATGCCATTGGCAGCGATTTTAACCTTGCGAGGTTTTAAACATGCTTGGGTTTGAAATTTTTTGTACAAGATAGTTTTACAGCGGTGCTAAATTGTTTATACATATTTAATTTGTTATGATGCTTACATTACTCTGATTTTTTCCAGCCTTTAGGATACAAAATAGATGACACCAAACTTAAGCGCGCTGGATTGGATTACTGGCCGTATCCTTTTGTTAAAATCTTGAGTCTATCAACCATATTCAGTTTTATGACTATGCTTTTACTTTATTTTTCTGTTATATTATGTTCTTTTCCTTACCGTTCTGATTTTTCTATAGTTAGCAAAACCAAAATTCATGCATCCTCATCCATGCACTTGTATACTTTTCGTTTGTACATACTTTATTACTTTTTTTTTTGGGCATTTACATACCTTGCACACAATTCTCGTGTATTACATTTCTCATACCTAAACTTTCATATTTGCACATATAACACTCGATCTTTAATATCACGTAAAAAATAACGCTATTATCATTTTTTAAAATGAAATACACCTTTTCATGCTTTGGTTTAAAGTACCAAAGTGCTATGTATGTAAATATGGAAATATGAAAGTTTGGGTGTGAGATATGTAAATACATAAGAATTGTGTGCCAGGTATGTAAAATTTCTTTTTTTAAAAGTATTATTGCTTTTTGTTTTAAAATTGGCTTAATGTTTTTGATTATTTTGATTTATTTCTAAATTTGACCAATTTAAAATAGATATGTAGTGGTTAAAGTTCATGGATCATGGACTGAATTTCGAGAATATTTCTGGCAACAGGTATTTACCTCTTTTCTTTGTAGAAGTACATTCTTATTTGATTTTGCCTTTTGTAATTAGCTGCTTTTTTATTTTAGGAGGGAGAAAAAAGATTGTTAGCATTCACCAAGAAAGGAACAAATATTCACTCCGTGAGTTGCAGTCTGTTTATTTATTTTTTTTCTGGTATATGATAGGGACATTTATTTACATATCAATCAATTCTTATTTATCTACATATCTAACGCTTAAATCTTCTTAATTACATACATAAAACTGTAATCTTTAAGATCACATGAAAATTACCACTAGTGCTGACTTTTTAGAAGTTAAGTACACTTTTTCATGCATAGGTTCATTACACTGAAATGTTATAAGCGTGAATATCATACTTAAAGGTGTTGGACATTCAGGTACGAAGGAATTGTGTGGTATGCATGTAAGTTTCCCTATATGATATTGCCATGCACTGGGAATTTCTAGGATGATGCTAATGGCTTATGTTGTTTGTGGTTTTGCTGCATAATGAATAATGTGGCTACCATTTTAAGCTTACATCATATGCGCATGAATTTAGTCAATCAATTTTGGTGCGGAGGAGTTTTCTCTGCAGTTTCTCTTTGATCTTACTTCATGTGATGATGAACTCCCTGGTTGTTAGAGGACCTACCTGTCTACATGGCATTGATTTGATATAATGGCTCCTCTGCATAAGTTTTCAATGGTGCCAATAAATTAGAGAGAGAGAGAGAGAGAGAGAGAGAGAGAGAGAGAGAAGTTCAAGTAGGATACTTCGTGCTTGGCAATTGATTCGACTTATGCACGGTGAACGCAAGTGCACGGATCGTTCAGATAATAGAATAAATCGAGTCCAAAATTGATTTCACAAGAATTGAAGCAAACACAATTCGGACGGTTGATATCTCTAATTCTCAAAATATTTTAAATGATTGTATAACTACTACACATTGCTAAATTAAGTTTGAGATGAAGTAAACTGGTACTTCCCAATATAATCTCAACTCAATTTTTTTAACTAGAGAAAAAAAAATGAAAATTAACGAATTCAAAGGAGAATTCGCTTAGCCTAACATGTTTGTAAACTTAACACAATGAAATCTCTTTATTTAACCAACAATTACAAGAGTTTACAAATGAACATATAAAGAAAGATAAAAGAACAACAATACCTAGAATCTTTGACTGCAGTTTCCAACTTTCCTTATGAAAGACTTTCTTATTCCTTTGCCTTGCTTCTAGCCTTCCTCTCTGCACATTCCCTTTTGTCTCCTTGGCTAAGTAACTCTCACGCACGCTTACCATCAAACTATACTCATTCACTATCCAAGACAAGACTCCAAGACTCACATAAGACTCTCCACACACTCCTAATGTCCTCTCTTCAGAATTTAAGTTTTGCTAGCACCAATAACTTCCATTCTAGCCTCCAAATTTATTATTTTAAATTAATAACTGTCTTGATTAGTTCGTTATGCTGCGGCGCTTAATGTGTAGTATTGCGGCTAGGGGTGTAAATAAGCCAATTCGAGCACAAATCATAGTAAACTCAGGCTTTGCTCTCTTGTCAAAATAAAAGCTCGAGCTCGGCTCATCATTTTATTATGAAGCTTGAGAGCCCGACTTAAGAGCTCAACGTAGAAGCGTGTTGTCGGAGGCAGCCATGGCTGGAAGCATGTCATCAGAGGAAGTCATGGCAGGAGCTTGTCGGAAAAGGCATCAAAACCATGGAGGTTGCTATTCGAGAAGATGACACGATCAACTTTTTCACGAAGGGAGCTTTCGAGAAAATGCCAGGCTGTGTGAAAATGAATGGTTTTCCAATAAAAAAAGAAAAATAAAACCATAGAAAGCTTTATTTATTTAGCCAACTTTTAAGCATTTACTTTATTAAGATGACACCAATAATTTTATCACCCATGCAATAGTTTTTTTTATTTTTTGAAAGCAAAAGTTTTTTTTTATTTAATCTATTAAATTTGTATTTTATATTGAGTCAATTCGCGAGCCTACAAGCCAAGTCTTATTGAGCTCACACTTGAGCCCTGGCTCGATAAGCTCGACACATGCTTGTTAAAGTGTCGAGTTCGAGTTGACTCTCCTCATTTATACCCGTAATTGTGGTTCTATGTCAGCATTTCGGGTATTAGTATTGAGGCACCGAGCTCTCTATATTCTAGCTCTTTGCTCTATCTTCGATTGTGCTGCGGTGCTGTTAGGTGGCATTGCGACACCTCGCTCTTGGGAAAATTATTGTACAAGCTCCCAACATGATGCCTAGGAGTTGGAGGTACTCCGGTGTAAACGAGTTGAGTAGAGCTTGAGCCTTAAGCTTGATTAATTGTATCGAGCTTGAGCTCAAGTCTATGAGCTCGAACCGGCTAACAAACCAATTTATTATAAAAGTGAGAAAATAATATTAATTTAAAGTGGTGTAATAAAATGACAAATAGAATGAACAATTATGTGAGAAATTATAAGAAATCACTTAATATAAAATATAAAATATTATTCTTTTTAACATTTTTAATGATTTAAAAATATAGTCATCAAATTAAATATATTTTGAGTATATTTAATATTAATATTTTTTAAATGAGATGACTCATGAGCTAAACGAGTCTAGTTTGTTAGCTCATCGAGCTCAGTTCACGAGCCACTTATCAAGCCGAGCTCGAGCCGGCTCATGAGTTGGCTTAACTCACTTGCAACCCTAGGGGGGTAGCGCCACTACACTACCTTTGAAATTTTCATTTCTTCACGCCTCTTGAGTGATCATCACATAAGGGTTTTCATGTAAAAAATGTATAGAACAGTGTAATATTTGCAGAAAAAAAAATGAAATTAAGATTAATTTAGACATATTTTTAGTGTTTTCTCATTAAAAAACAATCTAACCGGCCAAGAAAGAATGTTAGCATCTTTATAATTTTCCCATATAGACCTGATGTATTCAACAATCCGCTTTGTTTTTTAAACTTTTATCATAATGCGCTTTTCTTTCTGTCCATCATCCTTACATTTCTTTTGTTCTCTTAGAGCAATCTCACAATTGTGATATTACAATCAATATTAGTTTTTGACATTGTAAGGCGTAGTGTGCTGAATCGTTTCTCTTGGGAGCAAAAAGGACCACCACTTATCGCAATATTGGATAAGCTTTAACAGACAATGGCCAATCTATTAAAATATGAAGATAAAATTTCTAGTTTAACTCACACAATTTTCCGACATATCACTCTCAACTCATCTTCTATAAAGCACATTATGATATCTATCAACATTTACTGAATAAATTTAAGCTTGCTAACTGCCACCTTCAAGCGTTATATGAAGAGATGGCTTTAATGTGATGAAGCATCCTATGAACGAAAGAAAATATGAAGTGGAGGGAGAGATGAGGAAGATCAGCTTAAACTTTCAAAAATAAAAGAGTTAAACTCTTGAAATAGAGGGAAGAAGAGAGGAAGAAACTCTCACAATTGAGAGGAAGAAAATAACAGTACTGGCTACATAATATTTTCTATTTTCTGTCCTTGTTTTAATAAAAAGTGGCTGCGTTTTCTCCCAGTTTTTGATATAAAATGTTATATATCTATCTTTATCTTTGTATGTATGAAAAGAAAGCTTTGTTGTACTTCTCTTTAAAAATTTAATATAATATTTGATCTCTATGAGATTACAGTTAACTTAGGTTAATATCATTGAATTTTGTAAACTTATTTCTTATGAATGTAATCTTCAGTGCTTATTCTTCATCTTCCTTTAATTTTGTTCAATATTTTTATGCTATGCTGACAATTAATATAAGAGCTTTGGTCTAAAAAGTCCTTAAGCCCGATATAAGGACAAAAAAATCAATGCCAAAAATTTAATGGCCAAGACTTTGGATATTAAATGATGCAAGTAGAAGATTATTAAATGATGCAAGTAGAAGATTATTCATCAACGTTTGAAGGGATTAAAGTCTTCTACTATTGATCAAGATGAGTGGGAGTTGATATATAAACAAACATTGGGGGTTATTTTCCTATCTTTGACCAATAATGTTGCCTTCATTATTCTCAATGAAAGCACCATGGTAGGCGTAATGAAGACGTCATCAAATATGCTTGAGAAGCCTTTTGTTGTTAATAAGGTACATCTTATGCGCAAGTTTTTTAATCTCAAGATGTCCAAAAGAGTCATTGTTGTTGAGCACATCTACAATGTTTATTTGATTATTAGTTAGCTGAGCTCTGTGGACATCAATTTTACAATTAAATTTCTGTTTGAGTCTATTTTCATTGCTTCTTGAAATGGGACGTTGTAGCAGCAGTTGTCAGCGGCTCTCATTTGACCAAGTAAATTAAAATTAAATGATGTTAGAGACCTCATCCTCAATGAATGCATCTGATATGAATCAAAGCCAAAATCATGAACAAATTGCGAGAATTAGGTGAGAGGGGCGCCAAATTAAGGCTAATCGATTAATACCAAAGCAAAGAAGCAAGATATAAGGGTGATATTCAATTTGAAATGTTGATCTTCTCTCCACGAACTCTTGATGCCGCCAGGAATAAGACGATAAAAGGCAGAGCTGTAGGAAACAAAACATAAAACAAACCTTAACTACGTAGCCCTAATAAATACTCCCCAAGTTCCCCCCAAAATTTCCCACCAAAACTCCCCATAATTCTCCTCTAGTCTATGTGAATAAGGGCTACAAGGTCACCATCTTGGCGTTGGAATCATCCGTGGCTAGTCTAGACCAATCCCTCTTGAACCAGTGTGTGTGCAGAAACCTGCAGAGCCTGCATATTAACAGTCCCCTCTCAAAGAAGCACCTTGTTCTCAAGATTGAATGCTGGAAACTGCTTTTGGATCATTTCATACGGCTCCCACACCGCTTTCTAATATGACAAATGTTTCCACTTAATCAATACCTCCTTTGCTCTCGTTACTCCTTGACGCACCCCTTCGACCTCCAAAGGTTTTAGAATCACCTCCATGTCCTCTGTCCGTGTCGGAGCTAGTGAAGAGAGGGGGCATGATCTCCACACGCCTCAGCTGTGTTACATGTAAGACTGGATGCAATGAGAATGAAGGTTGTAGCCTCATACCATATACCACTGCCCCAATGCATGCCGTAATCTCATAGGATCCAAGTATAGTGGGAAAAGCTTCTTGCTTCTTTTGGCTAGTGTCTTATGAGGCTACAAGTATAGTGATAATCTCTGCTTTTAGCATCTCTCAGATCAACTTTGCTATCTCATCTTTCTGAATATGAGGATGCTTGTATGATTTAACATTGATAAGAGAAACTTCTTCTTTCAATGTGATGACATGCTTGGACTCCCTCGTTGCCGGAAATCCACTAGGTTGTTGAAAGATGTTGTGAAACTACTGCAGAAGCTGTTGAAAAACTTCAGGGAATTGTACTGACTTGAGCGCTCGCATCTCCTCTATACTGTGCAACTCCACTAAATAGCCCAACACTGATCATCGTATCGCCTTGACCATGATTTTTGAGTGAGACCATGGTTTTGCATAGGCTAGCATCTCCTCTTAGCATCACCTTTCTCCCCTCCACTTGAATCTTCATAGTCAAGGATTTCCAATCCACTTTCATCTTTCCAATCTTTTATAGCCACTTCATCCCCAGAATCACACCAGTGCTTCCGAAGTCCAAGAGAAGGAAGTTCTTTACGATTTGTAGGCTCTGTGCTGTCAATACAAGTCCCCTCCAAATTTCCTGACTTTTCTCAACATTCTCTCCACAACCCAATTTAAGATGAAATTGTGAGTGGCCCCAACTATCCACCAACACCACTACTGGCCGATCCCCCCGATTTGTCCCCTCACCTTCATGGGGTGATTTGGAGTAACTCCCACCACTGAGTTGAGGGACACCTCCACTACATCCAAGTGTAAGTGCTCCTCTCCCTTTATTGTTTCTTCCTCTGACTCCTCACTGTCTGTCTTCTCCCCCTCACTAACGAAAAGGATCTGGATCGTCTAATCTTTGCATTGGTGGCCTGGGGCATACTTCTCATCACATCAAAAACACAATCCATTTGCTCTCTTGTACGACACCTCTACCTCTATGAGGTGCTTGAGGTTGACCTTGGGACGACCTCTCTGTATTCCTCTCATTCGGTGCCTCCTTCTAAGATGACAGCACCTAGGCCCTTGCCGTCATGGTCATCGCACTGTTCTTGTAGAATCCTCAAGTGGTGCCACTTTTACTGGTTTTCATCATCTAGTTCTTGTTTTCCATCGTCTCCCTCAATCCTCACGGTTTCAATAGTCGGAGTGCTACCCATATGTCGAGTTTTATGCCCTTCATGAATTCACCTCCAATCCCGCTTCAAAAATCCGCCTCATGAATTTCCATCCAATCATGTTTCAGAAATCCTCCTCAGTCATCTTAACAATAACTTGAATCTCTCACTGTTCTGCGACAGTCCCCTCCCGAGTCAAGACATAGAATTGCTCGTGTACGTCTCTTTCCTGAATGACTCAAAATCGTTCCAACAAGTAATCCTTAAATTCCTTCCACCATCGGATCATGTATCTAGCCTCCCTCTACTGAAACCACGCTAGGGCTTTCCGCTCAAAACATAACTCTGCTTTCACGAGCTTCTCTTCCCCATGTAACCCATTCATCGTGAAATATGCTCCACACGATATACTCACCCATGTGTGTCTTCCCCTTCGAAGATCGACATCTCCAACTTTCTAACCCTAGCATTACCATCTCAACTTCTCCCTCCTATGTTCCCCCCATATATTTAGGGTGAAACTCACTCCTTCGATTATAGTCATATCCCATTTCGGTTTCTCTCCTCCCTTATTTGTGCTCCTCCCAACTCTTTGCATAATCTCTCCTCCATGTTTAAGGCCAACCCTTCCATCAGAAATCTCTAATTCCCTCTCCTCCTGCCTCCCACCCATCAGAGTCCTAGGGGGAAATTCTTAATGTTGGATGCTTTCCTCCTCATGTTACTCTAGTTCGATCTCTTTCCCTTGTTATAGATTCTCTGGTCAACCCTTGGTTAGGGTTTGCAACTTGAGCCGCCGGCGGAGTCTTAGATTAAATCTCAACAAGCTTCCTTACCATCTGTTCTAGGCTCTCGAATCGGTTGTCAATGTCGGATAACCTTTCCTCTATCCTTGATTTAAGTTGTCCTACTTCTCCTTCCAATTTCTCTTCCAACACAACAACTTTCGATGTTGCCTCTTCTGCAAGTTCGTGCACTGATACGAATTTGATATGATCCGGAGCCAAAATAGCGGACAACTTGCGAGAATTAGGTGAGAAGGAACCCAAATTAGGGTTAATTGATTAATACCAAAGCAAACAAGCAACATAAAAGAGTGACCTACAATTCAAGAGATAGATCGTCTCTTCACGAACCATAGACACTAGTATGAACAAGATGACAAAAGGAAAAGCTTTAGGAAACAAAACATAAAGCAAACCCTAGCTACTTAGCTCTAATAAATATCCCCCGAGGTCTTCTCAAACTTTTCCCCTAAAACTCTCCTTAATTCTTCTTCTTGTGTACGTGATTAAGGGCTGCGTGGGCCCCACTTGGGCGCTTGAACATCTCCAACTGTTCCTACGGTTTCCGCCCCACTAGGCTGGGTTGGTTGGGTCTAGCCGGTCCAGATCGGTCCCTACTAGACCGGTGTGCGCACAGAAATTGGCAGAGCCGACATATTAGTATAGTACAACACAAATAGGTGAAATTTGGTCCCTACTAGACCTGTGTGCGTACAGAAATTGGCAGAGCCAACATATTAGTATAGTACAACACAAATAGGCGAAATTTCTTCTATATTGAATATTGTTAACTAACGCGGTCCTCAAATTAAAGGTAATCACCAAAACATAGACATCCAAATCTCTATTTTATGAGATCTAAAATATATATTATAATAAAAGGAGATTTTTAAAATTCATGGGTGGGTGTTGAGTGTCGACACTATAGAAAGCGATAACATATGATGAAAGTCTACCTCAAAAGAAAGCAGGAATAATGTAGGGGGGGGGGAGGAGAGAGAGAGAGAGATATTGCTACTGAGGAAGAAATTTAAGATGCATTGATCATCACTGCTGATAGTCGAAGAAAATCATGGATTTTTTAGACTAACTCATCATTTCATTCTTTTTCTTAAAAAGCACTCATGACATGTGTTGTTTTGCAGGCAACTTGAAAAAGTATTTCTTGATAATGATAAACCCTTTCATATTGTGGGGATTAGTGATGTGATACTTTAAATCATGAACGGAATTACACAGAAGCTAAGGTTGTACAACTTGTAGCAGAAGAATTTAATGTCATATTCAATACTGGCATTTGGAAGGTGACCAAAGGAGTTATGTTGGTTACCCAAGCAAATAAGATACTAGCATAAATATCATAATAATGGGAGTTGTAACATATTCCTACATTGTAGAGCATGTTGAATTAGAAGATTCATTTAATTTTAATAAAAGATATTAGATACCATAAATGATTATATATCAATCTTTGCCCAACTCCTTTGTGAAAAAAGCTAGAAAATCACAAAGATTTTCGAAGCTTTTTAATGTTAGCCCATATTCTCGTGCTCTATATTATTTTTCACTTGTTAATCCAGATGAACCCAAATGCTGTGGAGAATGAGATTTTATTTATAATTTTCTAGAGTGATATTTTCGTAAAACATTCTATCTAATAGCTCATATTAATACTTTTGATTATAGATCGATCTTTCAATGATTAAGTATTTTGATGACCATAGAATCTAGTGATCTCGAATTTGTTGGATTCCTCTTATTAAGATACTTGATTTAACCACTAAACATGTAAGATTTGTACTTTATTTGATCCTTCATTTAATTTTCGTGCTTTATTATATTTGGGTCTATTTGAACCCAAATTAGACCACAATTGATGTCGTTCAATTCTTCTCATCGAAACACTCATTTTGATAGTAGACTTGGTAAAATCAGAGCTCAGATGATCCTAAATTTGAGTTTAGAAAATTCTCGCATCCAAAATGCATTGAAATTCTTGTTTGATCGGGTGATTTTATTCTTCATATTAAAACTAAATTATGCCATTGACAAGAACTGCAAGGACAATACCTGCAGGATGCATGATCCATGCCCGCTATTTTAATTTCACTTCATAGGAGCTTCCTTTTCTGCTCAAACTTGCCCAATAAATTGTAACCTTCTATCATCCATTATTTTGCAGGACTTCTCGTACCGGCGAGGTGACTGGCTAGTATTTGGATCTGAGACTTGTGGCCTTCCACCTGAAACCTTACAAGACTGCAACAGAGAAGGGATGGGGGGCGGCACCATTCGCATTCCGATGGTCGACACCTACGTTCGCTGCCTCAACCTCTCTGTTAGTGTTGGGATCTCTTTGTATGAAGCAGCCAGGCAGCTGAATTACGAACAGCTTCAGTTCCCCTCAGATGCTGCTAGAGGAACCCAAAGTCTGTTTATCACAGAAGATATATTTGCTTAACTTCAACGCACAGGGAATTCTTTTTTGTATTAAATAATGGTTAGAATTTTGATGAATCAGTGGGAACCATTGGGATGCATTCCATTTCAGGATTTCTTTTTTTTTTATTTATATAATTTGGTGTTATGTCTTAAAGAATAATTATAGTTAGCTTTTCTTCTTCCTCATTTTTGTACTAGAACATGTTAATTAAAATGTCTGTTACGCTCTTTCCAACAGCCATGTTTAAGAGGTTTTAAGTTGAGTTCTATTTATCAAAAGTTCAATTTAAATGCATGTGCTTATAATCACCAAAATCAACACAATTGGTGTTCATTTTCAAATTTTGAATGATCGGATTCATAAGCATATATTTAGCCTACGAAGATGTACATGCATGGTACATGTTACTCAATTCTAATGTATTTAGATATATAACACCTAAACTTTAATTTTTAGGTATATATCACCTTCCCTTTATATGAAAAACTTGTATTTTGATTTTTAAAAGTGAAAATAGTGTTATTTTATGTGATATAAATGATTTGGATGATAAAAATGTGAAAAATAAAGTATAGGTGTTAGATATGTAAATACATTTATGTGGTGTCTATGAAAATGGCACAATGTCAAGCCTTTATCCTTTAAGTGGGGTCGTTTACATGAATTCTTTTTCTCCATTGCGTCCTATTGTCATATTTTCATTTAATCATATTTTCATTTAATTCTATATTGTCATATTTTCATTTAATTCTAATAAATTAAGATCATTTTTTATACAATATGCTCAAGTTTTTCTAGTTCTAACTATTTCTTTCTTAAAATAAGTCTAATCTAAAACATCTAGTCCTCTATCTGGACCATGAGATGGTTGACGTTTAACGTGCTAAACCTTCTAAGAGATTTATCTCTAATTTTGTCCACCAATGAAGCTATATCAAACTCAACACATATATATTCATTTCACATTTTGTCTCTAAGGGTCAAGCCACTCATCCACTTAAGCATTCTCACCTGAGTAACTAACACTTAACTTTATTTTATGCTTTTCTTTTAAAGGCTAACATTCACGATCATTTTATAAAATTTTACTTTCAGTTTAAGCAGTACTTTTCTATCACACAATATGCTAGAAACATTCCTCTGCTTAACTCAACCAACTTGAATTCTACTAATAACATTCCCATCTGTATCACCATAAGAAATAATAGACCCGAGATATCTAAAATGTTTACATCTCTTAATGATTTGATCACCCATAGTTACAAATCTGACACTAGAATTACTGCAACTAAAATTACATCAATGTATTCAGTTTTAGTGCTACTCAAACGGAGGCCTTAGACTCTAATGTAGACCTTCGTAATTCATGTTTTTTCTGAACTTTTTCTCTAGTCATCTGTACAAGAAGGATATCATCAGTGAAAGTATAAACCAAAGTTTATCCTCCAGCAAATGCCCAGTAAGAGCAGCCATAATTAAAGCAAAAAAAGATATGGGCTTAAAGCCAATTCTTGAAGTAATCCCACTGAAATAGCAAAATATTTTGTTAATCCTCCTTCTGTTGGAACATAAGTAACAGCTCTAGTATACATATAATTAACAACTTGAATATAAGTCATATCAACATCTATCTTCTCTAGAACTCTCCAAAGGATATCTCTTGGAACTTTATTGTAAGCTTTTCTAAATCAATAAAAAATCATCTGTAAATCCTCCTTATTCTCTCTGAACTTCTCAATCAAACCTCTCAATAAATGTATAGCTTCCATGGTAGACCTGCCCTGCATAAATCTAAACTAATTATGAGAAATCTTTGCAGCACGTCTTTGCAATAAATGTATAACTTCCATAACTTTAAAGTATGACACATCAAATTAATTCCTCTATAATTTGCACACTCTTGTGTATCCCTTTTATTCTTAAAAATGGGGAAAAAAACACTCTTCTTCAACTTCTCAATCATCTTTTTAGTTTTTAAAATAATCTTAAAAAGTTTAGTAAACCAAGAAACTCGCAAATCTCTTAAATATTTCCAAACTTCAATTGAGATGTTATCAAGTTCTATTGATTTTCATTAAAGCCTCGTCAACTTTTCTTTTACTAATGTGATGGTAAAAATAAAATATATTATTATTATTATTAACGATATTAAGATCTCTAAGGTCGATTGCATTTTGAAAAACTTCGTTGAAAAGTTTATCAAAATAGCTCACCCACCTATGTTGAATATCTTATTTCAAGAAAAAAATATTTTTAGATTTTCATCTTTAATGAACTTGACTTAAATCTTTATTTTTATTTTCTCTTTATTTCGCTAGTTTACACATATATTTTTCACACTCTTCAATATCTAGTCTATTTTAAAGTTTACTAAAAGCAGAATTTTTAACATTACAAATTGTTTTCTTAGACTCCATATGAACCACCTTATATTATCTCAGTTCTCTAAACTTGTACATTTAAACCAATTTTCATAACACAACTTCTTTTTAATTTATCTTTTCTATCCCCAATTATATTAATTTTTAGAACATTATCTTTCCAACTCTTATCTGTAATTATACTACACCATTTCTAGTGCGACTCCTATCTAAATACCAAAGTTTAAAACTCGAGCTATCAATCTCCTCAGCATTTTCTCCAACCCGTATAGTTTCTTAAATACATAAGTATTTATCTTCCTATAAACTATAATATCAATTAATTTCATTAATTTACCTGTGAAAGTACCTATATTCCAATATCATATTGTAATATTAGTTTCATTGGTTAATTTATTTACATGTATCCATCCGTAATGTGAGATCAATTGCTAATTTGACACTACACCCGTGCGCAAGTGTAGCGGCTCTTACACACTTTTCATTGGATTCAAGTCATACAACTAGTAGCTTCTAGGGGATGCCCTAGCATTTACATAATGATCTAAATGATTGATGTCATGATTTCTTAACAAATTTTACACTGGCTGTCAACTAAACACAACCCCCCACTTTTCATATCGGGGGCTTGAGACTCGACAATCACAATATTATTATAAATAACTATAAACACTCACATATTTACAATAATTAGATATAACTAACAACAACTCCATGAAATGATATTGGTGATAATGAAATATTATTCTCTGTGCAGCAATGACAGCGATGAAAACTTCAATGGCTTTGTGATGAATCCACAGTGCTAAATAATGGTTACTCTGGCCAACAAAACTCAGTTTCATGAGAAAATATTGCGTGCAGATGAGATGGGTGCGAATTAGGTGTAGATTGATGTTATTCCGGTGGTATTATGATAGTATTGTCGTGCAATACCACCAGAATACCAACCATCCACACCTATGGTGTCCTGCGTAACATTTCCTCGACCTTCATATGTATATATGAGAAGAGCGGATGTAAACGATTTAAGTATGTTTATTATTTTGCTTTAGTATTTATAAATTTTAAAATTCCTTAGATTCTCTTTTTAACTTTAAATAAATAAAAATAAAGAAAACTAGTTATTACGTAGCCTAAAAGAAATTACCCTAAAATATATCAATCAAACTAGTAAGCTACATTTCCCTATTTTCCTACCACGAAAATAACTTAAATTTGAAAGGTGCATTTACACAGATACCACACAATTCTTATATCTTTATGCATCTAATGTCTATATCGCTCAAATTTTTAATTGCACATAAAAGTAGGGGTGTAAACGAGCCGAACACGAGCGAGCCATGCTCATCTCTTGTTCGGCT